TTTAGAACAGAAAATAATGGCCTCTTTTTTCTTTCTTTTTTTGGAAATCTGTGTGCCATGCCATGCAATAAAAGGAAGAGTTTTTCTACCTCACTTATTTTATCATTCCTAATTAAAAAATTTTAAAAGACGAGAAAAGACTTTGAAAAAAATTAATTAGTTAATATTATTTATCATATCATTAAAGATACAATTAAGAGAGGGATAGGGCAATTCTAACATTGTTAACAAAAGAAAGAAACAAATTCATAAGAATTGAGATCTGCAATAACAATAATAATAATAGGAAAAAATTTATATTAGTCCAAAACTAGAAAAATAATTACAAAATAATGATAAACTTTATCAATATTTATTGGTTATTTTTGACATTTCGAAGGTTAGAAATATAATTCAAACATATCAGCAAAAATCTGAAATTTTTTTTTACAAATAATAAATACCACTTTTTATTAAGTGATTGTATTAAGGTTCTCTTAATGTCAATGAAAAGACTTTACTGTGTTGTGTTTAAAAATGAACGAAAGCTTTAACTCAAATTCGTAACAAAATTGGAGGGAAAGGCTAGGCAGAAATTACAATTGATTAACTGAATAAACAATTACAAAATGTTACATATAGTAAGGACAATTTCGAAACTTTTAAACCGATCGAGTTTTGGAATTACAAGGCTAATCTACTCCTACGAAATGTAAGTGCAATGCATAAAAGTAAAGTGTAAAAATTTAAAGATAAATGAAATTGACAAAGATGTAGAGTCTGAATTTGGTCAGGGGCCTTTTCAGTTTTTGCTTCCATCTATTTATAGCCTTCTCTTGATGCCTTTGAAGCAGTTAGACTGCTATCTTCGGCCATGATCTCTTTTCTTCTCGCTACTTCTTAAGGCCATAATCTTCCCTTCGTACATGTGTAACTGCTAGCAACTGCTCCTTGTTAACTCTTTCTTCACGTGCCTCTCAGATGTTGCTCATTATCTTTTACTAGTTAAACTTGCATTTGGAACTCAGGTGAGCACTTGCAAGGTGACACCCTTCCATATCTCATCAAATACCATAGAAAAAACTTAAAATGTCACGTGTCACTTTTGAATTCAATGATTCAAATGTGGTGCCAACAATATTAATAATTAAAATTATAAACTTTTTTATACAAAACTTGAAAATTAATTACAAAATCAGGCAAGATTGGCTCACTCACACGAGCAATCGCCCTTGGCGCTTGGGAGGGAGCAAGGATGAGACTAGTGGTTTATTTTTATTTGGAGCCAAGAGGCTTAAATTATCCACTATATATGTTGCCTTGGTTACAACCAAGATGAGGTCGTGTTAAGGACCAAACATGGATGTTAGTACCCACTTTCCATGTTGTGCCTGTTATGATTAGCCAGATGCGAGATCTCATTTGGCGCCTGGAAGGCGAGCAAATAGAGAATTCGGGTTAGGCGCTAGAAAGCGACTAGACTAATATCTGTACGGTGTATCGAGTATGACGTCACTCTTTATGGAAGAGTTACTCCACCGTAGCATGTATTCATACTATATGTGCTTGGCGACCGAGTAATGAGGTGAGAGAATGGATCCCTGGTTCCTCACTGTGTGAGTCTTACGTGTCATTATTGATATGACTTTCATTTATGTACCCTTTTGTGACTTTTGACTATGTCATAAGGTAAGGGGTTGATATTCTGCTACTTTGGTATGTTGCCTGCGGTCATGCATGATTCGGCTTTAAGGGACATCACTGGGAAATCAGTCAATCCTAAACTAAATGGCATCAGTGCAAAGGGAAGATCATCTAGTATTACACCACTGTTGTATATTCATTGCCGGCAACTCACATCGCTCTATATGAGAGGCGAATTGAGTGTGAATATATTACAAGAATTGAGAGGGTCAAACATGCTCTTTTTGAGGCGTTTTGTATGAGAGGCGGATTGAGTGTGAATATATTGCAAGAATTGAGAGGGTCAAACATGCTCTTTTTGAGGGATTAGAGATGTTTTTTGGACCGATATAATTAGATGGGTCTGGGGTATATGAGACACTATTTCTGTTCTTTTTTGGGTTGATGTCTCTATGCTGGCTCATTTTTGAGTTTCAAGTATAGAGCTCCCACATGTAGGTGTTCTCAGCAGTTGCACGATACATTGGCTAGTATGAGATTGTTCACTTTTTGGGAGATTGAAATAGAGATGTGGCAGTGTCATGCCAACTCATGTGCGAGTGGGGGATGTTAGAAATTGGGCGCCCATGTGGCATGACCGTTTGAATCTTTCGAACCTGAACCTCTTGAACCTTATCCATGTAAGTTTGAATTTTAATTCAAAACTTATTTGGATAACCATTCGGGATATCTATATCTATCATATCAATAGCTATGGATAGATAGATATTGGTGGATATATATCTAAATATATATTTTAGATAATATATTGATATATCAGATACGTTATATGGTTTTTACCCATAACATTTTTTTTCCCAGACTCTCTCTCTCTGACTCTCTCCTATTAAAACAACGATCAAGCCATTTTGCACTGTGACTTATGTGGGTGATACTCATTTTGTAGTATCACTCCACTGCTGGGTTCGTTGTTCGGATTCTGGAAGCACGTGATTTACCCACGAGGTTCTATCACCTAAAGGTATGATCTAAATGTTTTTCCCGCTGCGTTATAATACTTTATTATTTACAAAAAAAAAACGCATAACAATAATAAAATGCCAAGCGTAAAAAAAAAAATAAAAAGCATGTTTTTAATATAAATAAATAAATAAAAATTACTTTAAAAGAAAACCCAGAGAAATTCTATTTCCACACACCAAGTTTCCTTACTCCACACGCTTAATAAATTTTTTTTCAGAGTCACAATTTTATCCTTTAACAAAATTACCATCTCACCCACCACCATGTCATCCACCCATCTCACAATTTCTCCATACACATCTCACTCACATAATGTGATGAGGGTGTGCACACACTCGTTTTGTGGCTTTTCGTGTTTTTTCTTCATTGATGGTGGTTCAACTGCTAACTCCACAATAGTCCACATAATCTGTATTTATTAAACTATATTGTGGGAGCTGAATAATTTTGGATCAACAGGAGCGGACCAATCCGGTCCAGAACATAACTTCTATTCGGCATTGACCCTATCCAATTTTGGGGCCGAATAAAAGAGCCGGCATTCTTGCCAGTGAAACAAGGGCCATGTAGAAGTGCATGGCAAGGACTAGGAGTGGATCAGGCCCCAAGGCCCCAAGAGAATACTATAAATACAAGATCTTCGGTCCTAAAGAGGTATGTGAGAATTACTATGCTTAGCTTAGAATACAAGCCTCCTCGAATGTAGATACTAACTTGCCCGTCGGAGTGCTAATTCCGGCACCCCCGACCGGAGTGTTTATTCTTTTTCAGGTGACCAGAAGAGGATCACGAGCGTTTCCCAGGATCTTGAAGAGTATTTCTAAACCACTTACCCACATATATGTTTCTTTGGTTTTTTTTTTTAGTTTGTATGTATTATTTGTTAGTGTCTACTACATAATTTCATTGAAGTTGTTTGCTGGGGAAAATGTTTTCAATAATGGGTCATTTTTTAATCTTCCTAATTTGGGGTTAAATAAGGTTTCCATGAGATTTTGAGGAGACCCATCATGGATCTAGAAACTGGGTTTTATCATAATCGTGTTAAGGTGAGATGGGTAATTCTTTAATTTGTGTTTTTTGAGAAATGGGTTTGCTTTTAATCTGTGTTTTGGAACAAACCCATGTGTGTTTTTTGGTCAAATTGTTTTTGTTTTGTTTTTTTTGTTTTTGTTTTTGTTTTTTTTTTTTTGTTGCAGAAAGAATCTTGGAGGACAGTATTAATTTTGGCTTATCAGAGCCTTGGAGTTGTCTATGAATTTTGTCTAACGTAATCTGATGAGGGTGTACACATTTTTTATTAAATGGGTATATTTAGAATGTGGGGTGTGTGGACTGAGATGTATATTTTTAATGTGGGGTGTGTGGACTGAGATAAATACCTAAGAATCAAAATACTAATGTGTGGAGTGACAAAGGATGTACACAGAGATAATGTGGTATGTGAAAATAGAATTTTCCGAAAACACGCTTAATTTTATATATATATATTGAAAGCTTATGTCATAAATAAAATATATATACTTACAAAATGAACTTTCTATTTCAACACTATTAAATATTTTTTTTAAAAAAAGTGTATTTTTTCTATTAATTATTTAAAAATTATAATGAAAATACATTTTCTATTTCAACAGGATTTCTATTAATTACTATTTTTTTTTTTTTTAAAAAATGATGAAAACGTTCTTAGTTTTCTGTTATTTGTTTTTTTTTTTTAAATTATGATAAAAATGGATTTCATAAAATACAATTTTTGTTGAAATTTTTTTAAAAAAAATTAATGCAAAGCGTATTAGAAAATGTATTTACAAAAAACGTTTTGATGAAAACGTATTTACAAAATATTTTTGAATTAAATTTCAAAACAATCTACGTATTTATGGTTCATCTTTTTCTCAGTTTGATTTTTCAAATTCATTTGGAACTGGGTATCTGAACAAACTTCATATGTTTGAAGGAACCAATTTTCTTGTGTTAAAGAGTATCCAAACAAACTTCATATGTTTGTAATTAAGTATCCGGATAAATATATTTTGTTTAGCACTAAGTATCCCTATGAAGCAATTGAAATCGATTTTCTCGTGCTCCGCATTGAGTATTCGAAAACCAATAGACACCAGTGGATGTAGAGTGAGAAGAGATCTTCGTCGCTTGAACCCCTCTTTATCTCGGATGAACCATCTTCGTCGCTTGAAATTCTATGCTCATGATGTTCCTCTGTTTATGGATAATGGAGTGTACAAAGTAGATTTGTATAGGGTCCTAGAGGTTTTAGGGTTACGATAGGTATTATTTGGAATGTCCCAATAAATAAATAAAATTTATAATTTATAATTGGAATGCTTAAAATATGGTGTCCAACTTAATTCTTGGAGTGCATTTAAGGCCTCCCAATTATTTAATTTGTAAATAAAAAAAGCCCAAAAGGGTTAATGGTCCGATGAAACCCCTCTAGTAAATTGTACTTACTAGTACAACGATAACAGTCTTAAATTTGGAACAGAATCTATGTGGGTACACACTCAATAAGCAACTGAACTACCTTACCTATTTTCTCACTTTTAAGAGAAATTATACAATTATATAAATTTGGAACAGAATCTAGGGTTCACTCTCCTTGATCATCTATTAAATTTTGAGATCTGGTCTGGAGCAGTGGAGCAAGTAAGCTCTCTACAGAAGATCTCTGCTTATTTGTTTCCTCGAGGATAAGCAATTGAGCAGCAACACAAGCATCTGCATCTGGAAAACCAAGTGTCCATCTGCCATTTTCCTCGTGATTGGAAGTGTTCAAATGGTGGCTTCTGGTTTTACTTTCATCGAACTTCGGATCAAACTCCCTAATCCGGAGATGCAACCATGTTGGATGCTTCTCGTCTACATTTGGCTGTTACAAAATGCAATATCAGCTAAATTATAAGATCCCAGAGACACAAATATAATAACAGGAACAGGAATATTTTTAAGTGAATGATTTTAAAGACAAAGCAATCAAATTTCATTACTTTTTTTTGATAAATAAAGAACAAACATTATTAAGAAAGCATAAAGATGATGCAAAGAACCAAGAATTACAATCAATGAAGAAATAAAGACTCAATGAAATCCAAAAAAGTAAATAAATCCGGATCCACAGTCCTTGACACCCAAACCAAATCAAACCAAATTAAGCCTTAGGTCTCATCAAACGGGGATCGGTTACATGAATCCTTCTTCTCCATTCATCTCTATCAAGGGCTACTTAGTCAAGGGACCGAGGCTGCTAACCCCTCATACGTCCATCTATTCCTCCCCAACCACACCAACCACATTAGGCATAAAGGAGCCAACAACCAAGCCCTCCGCCGCCTCTTCCCTACCCTACCCGCTCTCCAACTAGCCAACACCTCCTTTACCGTCCCCTGTTGCACCCAAACTAAATTAAACACACCAAAAACCAATCCCCATAACTGAAACGTCATTGGACAATGAAGAAGATGCGACACATATTTGCTTAGAGAAAGAATGAAATGTTCATCATTGAAGAGAGAATGAAATGTAAGAGTTTGAAGTTTGTAACAGGTTTAAACAAGAACGACCCAAATCCGTCCAGTGATATGAAATGCTAAGTACAAAAACAAGGGTCAACATCCAACAAGAATGTGATAAGTTGGGAAATAATTAACCTGATGTTCAAAATAATACTTATTTGTAGAATTTGAAATCAGCCTATTAGTGTCACTAAATCTATGGAATGTAGAATGTGTAAAGAGAAAACTGATGTTCAAAATAAATGTTATGAGCCTCAAAAAAGGCTGAAAGAAGTCCACAGCATCTAATACTCAATGCCACAACATCTCAGAAACATGCACCAACATCTATTATATGTCACAAGCAGTGGCACAGCTACTGTAAAAGCAGGTAAATTTGATGATGGTGGCTCTACAAATCTTTTTTTCCAGATGGGGACATCTATCTCTAGATCAAAGGTCATCATATTACTAGTGCCTGAAAGCGATTTCTTTTTCCCAGCATTCTAATTGACCTGAGAACTAAATAACTTCCATATGGTATACACATTGAATCTTTGTTGCAAATGACTAAACTATCTTAAGGTCCTATATCGATTAACAAACAATAATGTGTAACTGCTTTTCAATATATTAATCCATTTATCTCAACACTTTCAGCTTCCTACAATTGTAATACCAAAGGGTGTGAGGTCTTGTTCTCCACATCCTATCTCTAATTTATTTCCTATTCTAGTTTGTTTTCCTCATATAGAGCATTTGTGTCACAGATTTCCTCTGTCAGTATACCTAATCATTTTTAGGATGATCTTGCCACCACTAAGTGGAAACTTTCCATGATCGAATAGATGAAAGCACTTTATAAGGATTAGTACTTGGGAAATGACACAGTTACCTAAGGGCAAACGAACTGTGAAATATAAGTGGGTGTATACCGTGAAGCACAGGGTGGACGGTTCGATTGAGCGTTGTAAAGCTTGGCTTGCGGAAAAGGGCTTTACTCAAACCTATGGAGTTGACTATTAAGAGACATTTGCTCTGGTTGCAAAGATGAATTCAGTCAGGATACGTCTCTCTTTTGTAGCTAATTTGGATTGGCCTCTTCACCAATTTGATGTGAAGAATGCTTTTTTACATGCTGATCTAGACGAAGAGGTGTATATGGACATTCCTCCTGGCTTTGAAGATCTTCAGACAAAAGGTAAGGTGCACAAGCTTCAAAAATGATTGTATGATCTCAAACAGTCCCCAAGAGCTTGGTTTGAGAGATTTACTTAGGCAATGCTTAAAGATGGCTTCGAACAAAGTCAGACTTATCACACTTTGTTTATTAAACATTCCTCACATGGTAAGACTACAGTTTTCATTGTATATGTGGATGACATAGTACTTACAGGAGATGATGTTGAGGAAATGCCTCAATTGAAGAAATATTTGTCAAACGAGTTTGAAATAAAAGACTTGTGAAACCTGAAGCATTTCCTGGGTTATTGAGGTTGTCGGATCCAAGGACAACATTTTTGTCTATCAAAGGAAATACGTTCTTGACCTATTAAAAGAAAGTGGAATGCTTGAAAGTAAAGCTTGTAACACACTGTTAGAACCAAATCAGAAACTTAGTGATGATAATGGGGAGCTATTGTTGATAAGGGGAGATATTAGAGACTAGTGGGTAAACCCATTTATTTATATCATTCTCATCCCAACATTGTTGTTGCTGTCAGTGTGGTTAGCCAGTTCATGCATGCTCCTCACGAGGCATGCAATTATGCGAACCGTTAGGTACTTGAAATCTTCGCCTGGAAAGGATCTATATTTTTCTAAACATGATCATCTCAGGGTGGAAGCTTATATAGATGCTGATTAGGCATGATCAATAACTGCTATAAGGCCTACATCAGGATATTCTACCTTTGTTGGGGGCAATTTGATTACTTGGAGAAGTAAGAAATAGCATGTGATAGCAAGGTCTAGTATAGAGGCAGAATTTAGAGCCATGACACACAGTGTGTGTGAACTCTTATGGATCAAATTGTTGTTGAATGATCCATGAATTGATCAAATAGACTCCATACGACTATATTGTGACAATAAAGCTGCTATTAACATAGTTCACAATCCAATTCAACATGACCGGACGAAACATGTTGAAATTGATCGTCACTTCATTAAGGAGAAACTCACTAGTGGCACCATATGTACTCCTTTTGTGAAGTCTGGCGAACAACTTGCGGATATTCTCACCAAGGGAATAAACAATTTCATGATGCTCTTGGCAAGTTGGAAATGAGAGATATTTTTGTACTAGATTGAGGAGGAGTTTTAGAATTGTTAGCATTATATCTTTATTATTGTCTTTCCTTATCAATTGTCATTAGCTGTCACTAGCTATAGATTCTTTATTTTGCCTAAAGGCTTCTATTGTAAGTTTCAAGTCTTTAATATAAAAAGGGGTGATAACCTAATCATTACACCCTCAGTTTGATTTCTCTCTTAAACAAACATATGCCATTGAGATTAAAGCCCACAAAACTCTAAGAGCACTTCTACAATACAATACTCCTGCTCTAATTCAGTGGGCAATGTGTTCATATATTCATGAAAGGATGGCTGTATATATGTGCATGTATATCAAGATTTTATTGTTATTTTTTCTTACAACAAAGCTCGAAAAATAACCACAGCATCAAAAGGATGCATTTCTACATCAATTCTAATATTAGGGAACAAGGCCTCAATTGAGGATTCATGAGCAGGAATTTAGCCAAGTTTCAGATCAGAAGCTAACTTAAAGCAATTTAGCCAAGTTTCAGACCAGAAGCTAACCTAAAGCAATTTTTGCACAATGTGGGAACATTAGTTTTAATTTTTTGAGCTTTTGATAGAGTCACAGTGCACATGATACTAATGAACTTACATTCAATACACACTAATATCTAAATTCAATACAATCACAGAAAATGCTTTTAAGCAGTAGAAAGCAATGTGCACCAGCTATTGGACTTACATTCAACCCAGCCAGTGGAGCCATAGCAATTACAACTCCTCGCTTGAAATGTAAGGGATGTTTCTCCAGTAGGAGAAACTTCCCAGATTTTCCTGTTGCTATGGGTATCACATAGATATCCCTTGTCCCAACTTTGGAAAATGCAATTTTACAAGGGATACCAGAGACTGCAAAAAATTTATAATTAAAACAAGCAAGAAACGTAACTTGAGATTTTGTGGAGAGTCAATAGGATTCACAGGACAGATAACCAACCTAAAGATATCTCTGAGCCAAAGCTTGCAGATGAAAGATCTGAAACATACTTTCTTCCCGAAACAGCAAAAGAACTGCTTTTCAAGTTCATCAAGGGATTTTCAAAAGGATCCCCATTGAAAACAAAGGGCTTCAAATGAAGATGTAGGACGAAAACCTAAAATGGAACTTTTATAAGAACTTCTACATCCCAAAACAGTATGGTCATATGACCAACGGCAGAAAAAAAAAATACACATATGCTATGAAGCACAGATATGGACATGGACACGGACACGGACACAGTGATTTAAAAAAACTGGGGGCACGGACACCAAGGGGGACATGGCAATTTTTTTACTATTATATATATATATATTGTATTTGCAATGTAGATTAATATTATGTTATCAAACAATCAAAATTAATAAAAACTAACATTCATTCAATGTCTATATGAAAGCCACTACATTTAAATAAATAAACAGATCATTATAAATTAATTTTGTTCAAGAAATCCATAATGAATAAAATTTATTGTACAATATATAAATTTATAAAGAAAACAAATAAATAAAAATATATAATATATGTTTATTATACAGAAATAAAGTATAATCAGAAAAAGAAAAGAAAAAAGGAAGACGAGCGTGCGCGCGCGCGAGAGAGAGAGAGACGAGAGGCTTACCAGGTCGAGAGGTGATGGAGATCGACTGGAGATGAAGCTCGATGGAGAGATTGATTGAATGCCTTCCTCGATGAACAGGTTCATCGTTTCTCTTCCCACTTTTTTTCTTCTCATTTAGGATTTAGGTCTCTTCTCCTCTTTCTATTTCGAATTAGGGATTTTTTTATTTTTTTTTAACTTTATTAAATTTACATTTTGACCCCAAAAGATATATAAAAACTAAAAGAGGACCCCATCGTGTCCCATTGCCATGTCTCGCTGTGTCCCATACCAAAAAAAAAAAAATAAATAAATAAATAAATAAAGTAAAAATAAATTAAAGGGACACACCGGCATGTCCCCTTGTCCGACACTGCTACGGTGCCTATTTTGACGTGTCCGTGCTTCATAAGCACATATGTATATATTTGTAAATAAATATGCAAAAAAAGGTTTAGAGAAAGAATTTATATACACAAATTGCATAAAAAATAATGTTACTGGTACTTTGGAAATTAAACGGCTGTACATAAACTCAAACTAGAACCAAAAATAAAAAATAAAATCAGCAAATGTCTATTATAAAAAAGAGCAGAATTAACAGATACAGACAAAAGAAATTCATTCCATGGAAGTTAAAAGAAAGAAAAGCAAAAGAGAAGAATCAAAGAAATTGCACAAGTTCCTCAGTTCTTAATATGAAAGGAGGGGAAGATATATAACACATAACACAAGATAGAAAAAAACATCACGCTATAAATACAGTGTGGCTATGGACATTATGTATCATGAATTTTGAAAAATATATAGCGATCCAAGACATGCAATACATATTACTGTGTTTGTGTGTCTCATTGGGTTGTTCTCTATGTTGCACTTCAAGCAATATAAGTGAATTGAATTACAATATCTATATCAAATCAACGATGGGTGTGCCTCTGATATATTTATCCAGTTCAACAAGTCAATATTAATTCTCAAAAGCTAAGCGCTTATGACACTCCATTTTTAACAATTTTTGCAGGCCAGACATTATTTTGGGTAGTAACACCAGTGTACATGTTCATTTTGGTATTGCACAATCCTCTTGGAAACTTCAACCCATGTTAAACCCATCCATATCTGAGTTTCCTCGTTTAATAGCTTGGAAACATCCAAACTAAAGAATAGCATTCTTTCACTACAAATAATAATAATAATAATAATAAAATAAATTTATCCAGAGTGATATAAACCTTGACTGCATCAACCATCCTTTGCCAAGCCAGTGCAGAAGCAGTAGGACCTCCTAAAATAAGAAAAAAAAAAATATTTTTTTAATTGTCTGATAAAGAGTGAGGTGCAAAACAACAATTTCCCAGTACCATGCATGCAACAAAAGCTTGAATAACACGATGAACGTAAACTAATAATTTTTAACAAAAATTTATATTACCACATGAAGTATGTTGGTGGTAAGCAAGCTCAAGTGCAAAAAAGGGATCCTTAGACTGGGAAGATTCCTCAAGAACTGCAATGTCGCAACAAAATGAAGTAATGAGTTCCATGCAGATTGTCTTATGCAGCATACAAATTTTATCTAAAAAGCAGTGGGAACGAACAACTACCACCACCTGTGTTACATGAACTCTTCTAAATGTACTACCCATGTCGGACACTCAACACAGCTAAGGGTATGGGATATTTGTCTAACATATGCAGTTGGATATTTACCTAGCTGACATTTAGTAATTCAAGTAGTTTACCATAAAGCTATGCATAGTATTATCATACTATGCATGACGTGCTCTATGGCACCTTGTGATCATCCTTTACCTTGGAAAATAGAAGAAGTATACTAAAAATACACACATATCTCGCCATGCCCTTGTGTCCTGGACATGGGAATTAGATGAATCAAACACTTGTACACATATTTGCACCTGATACCCCTAATCGAGTCCATGTAACATTAACATAGACCACCACAAAAGAAATCCCTTCAGGTTCTAACCCCACCCACCACCCTCAAAAGAGGGCATGCTACCACCTTCCAAACAGCTATTTCAGAACATCAATGAAGTTGAATAAAATAGCATATACCTCTTTTACAGTTTGCCCATTCATTTCTCAAAGTATCTGGCATGTAATCAAACCAGCATCCATCAAGTTCTTTCCGAAGACATTCACAAGACTGCTCATACGACGTCTGTCAATGGGAACTAGGAAAAAGTAGAACTTTAGATGAAGGTCAACTTTCTTAAAAATAATGTTTCCGGGAAAGGTAGTTTTGTCTTTCATTATTTGGGAACATAAATAAATTCCAGTACAGATAAGATGTACAATGCTTCTTGTCATTTCTGTGGTTCATGATACTCCACAATGTCTTTTAAGGCTAACTGCTTTAAGCTACTCACTGCTGAAAATGCAAGAGCTAAATTAGCCATATCAAAGCATCGGAAGTGATTAGATAAGCATAGATTCTGATTTTCCTTTTGTAGGATAAGCAAGTAGAGGAGTTAGTGATCATGCAGATTCCATAGGAAATCAGGAAATGCATGCTCTGTTCAACAAAAATCACACAACAAATTTGATTATTGTTCAATAATAAGTGAGAACACTTCAACTTTCTTGTCATCACAACCACACCGTTGAAATTAAGATAAAATAGTACCCATATGATGTCGAAGCATCAAGATGAAATTATATGCTACGCTAATGGTTCAATCTGAAGCATAACTGCTATCTGCTGAGGATGTGGCTACCTGCTAACAATGAATTAAAGGGTTCAATGTACATGAGAGTCAACCAAAGACCCTCCTAGTTTTGATGGTACATCAGGTCTTGAAATATTCTTGAAATGGTTTGATGATTAGGAAGATTGTTTTGTTGGGTTCTGTCACCATTGCATTACCCCCTCACTAGGTTGAAATTATAGTGTTTTGCCAAACAATATTGGAGGGGAATCTAGAGAAGCCTACATTACTTAGAAAAGCAACCGCACCACATAGGCTGAAATGAATAAAAAATTGAAAGATATGTATTTGCCAGCTTTTTATAGGCAACAAATGCTTAACCAATGCATCAATCTTCAACAACATTATTATAGTGTCTTAGATTAGTTTGTTGAATTCAAGTACTCTTAAAATTATCTGACACTAATGACGATCGATACACTATTATCAGTCAGCTTATAATTTCGGATTGAGACTAGAAATTTGTAAGGAGATAATACTAAGGAGTGTGCCAAAAAAATAAATAAATGAAAAAATGCAAACCAGCCAATCCATACTGGCCCAGACCGACCAAACCCATGTGGTTTGAAAGGTGAGTAGGTTGGGTTGAGTGGGGAGGGTTAGCTGGTAAAAATTGGCGGCTCAGCTAATATGTACTACCACCTCCACTTCACCTACTCCTTACCTACTACACACTCACCCTCTTCTATATATAGGAATCATGAATCATTGTAATAAATAGATCAATATACAATCAATCAATAATACAATTCTCTATTTCTCTTTATACATTAAATTTCTTCAAGTAGGTTGGGTTGAGTGGGGAGGGTTAGTTGGTAAAAATTGGCGGCTCAGCTAATATGTGGTTTGAAAAATGTCTACCCGCCTACAAACCAACCCAACCTACTTATATGTACACACAAATCACCTTGCGCTATCCCACAAACAAACCCTCACCAACCTTAATACCATTCATAAGAAGACACCTACCCTATGACACCCCGAAGAATGCCACGTACTATAATTATATCATCATCCATCTTTGAATACCTTAGGTTAAAATAACTATTCTATTGACTGTTTCATATCACAAGGCATCCTAATTTAATTACCTTCCAATACTCTAGAGATAAAAATATGAATTGTTAGGATAACAACTTAGGAGATGAATACATTAGCTAGAAAACTTAGGAATGTCTATGCTTGATAGAGAACCTAAGGAGCCTAGGAGAATTTGAACATGCCCAAGAGATTTAGTAAGTATTGAAGAGTTAGGGAGCTCTTTTTTGAACTTGAGTATGGAACATTTAGACAATTCAAGAAACTCTAAGTGAGGAGCTTAATGATCTTAATTTAATGAGTACCTTGCTAGCAATTAAGTGGGATTAGCAAAGGTTAAGTAGGATTAGCTAAAGCCTAAGTAGGATTAATTAAAACTAAGCTTGATTAATTAAGCTAATCAAGTAATCAGTGAAACACTTAAGCTAATTAGTCATCCTACATCGAATAAAAGAAAAACAAAAGAGAAGAATTGAGAAAGATGGAGAAGAATTGAGAGGGAGCTTGAGTTCTTGAGTTCTTGAGAGAGAAGGAGGGAAAAAGGAAGCAGTTCAAAGAAAAACAAATCCTATGTTAGGAAGATTAGGAGAAATTCACAAAAAGGTAAGAAATTCAACCCTCTTTCTTATGTTATTGATTTGATCTAGCTGGAAAATCACTTGGGATGAGTTTAGAAGGATCTAAGTTGGAGTTTCGATGGAAGTTTTGGAAAAAGGAAATTAAGACTGAAGATTTCTAAGAAAAACTATGTTTTGATTTGTTTTCACCTTGAATTCATAGTGTATAAATGCTTTCCTACAAAACACACAACATCTATTTTCAATTTGAAGTCTTTAAACATCATGCTTTGAAGGATTGAAACAAAGGAAATGAAGAAGGGTTTGAAAAGAAACTAAGTTGAGAAGTTCTTGAATTAAAACATGTTTTTGGTTAGATTAACCTTGAAATCATGCATTCAAATGAGTTTTCAAGGATCATACATCATTTATTTATGTTTTGGTACATCAAACATCAAGTTTTGAGGCTTTAGAATGAAGAAAAATGAGTTAGAACACCAAGAACATGCACCAGCCCAGAATTCTGCTCGATGGGCACACAAGCGGCCACCATCGACCGCACGAGCACGCAGAGTCGAATCTTCCCTAACTTGAGCCACCGCTCCTGCGGCCAACCTTGAGTTGTGCATTGCCTTGTTCTCCGCTCGTGCGGCTAGACTTCAGCGCACATGTGGCCAGTCAGGGCATTTTTCTGTTTTGAGTCTTTTTCGTTTCTTTTGACCTACTAGACTTCCTCAAGCATGTCTTAGGCCTAAAACAAAATTAAACACATATAGAAACCGACTTAAAACACGGCTGATTAGAGTAGAGTTAGTTTAAGTTACCTTGCTTTCATTTCATCAATGTTTGGATGTTTATTCATGTAGGTTATGTCTTCGGAAGTCTTCCCCTTTCCTAAGAGCCATTGGTGAGTAATATTATTGTGAAGTTATGTTTGAAAACTAGTTTTGGAAGCTCAACAGTATAACATGATTTATAAAATTCCTATTTTGATTTTGAATGAATGAATATCCTGTATTTTGTTTAAACCTATCAATGGCATCCTTAGATAGTCCTAACCATTGGGGGGTAGTCTAAATGCACCATGCCCATATTCGAGCTCCATCGCCACCGAAATGTGGATTGTCTAATTCGTACCCAAGTCGAATATTCTATTAAGAGATTCTAATAGATGTACCGTGTTATCATGTTTTGATTATGAAATATTCTAATGAGAAATGTTCAAATGCTTTTGGAAATGTGATATGATATTATGCTTTGCAAATGAGATTGGAATTCATTCATTTACCACTTTACTATAATATTATTCACTGGGCAATGGCTCATCCCTCAACTCCTATATGTATGTAGGTGCAAGAGAAGCATCAAGAAGTTAGCTCCGTGAAGTTCATGTTTATATGCTAGAGTCAAGGGAGTTGTAATTGGCCTTGTACATATTGTATTCCTACTAAAAGATTATGTAATCAAGAATGATGTATGTTTCATTTCATATAGCTAAGCATTACTCTGAATGGATATTTTATTAAATTTAATTGACTCAACTAAAGCAACTAAAAGGCTTCTGCAACTTAAAATGAGATTTGCCCCAATTATCATAAGAGCCCAACTTTATTTTTGTTCAGTTAGGCCTTTGGTAGTTAGGGACTACTGGCCAGTCACTACACCATCCTGTTTGGGGCGGGTTGAGGTTGTGACATATCCCTCATTTTTATCGCTTGAATATTGATTTGTAAAAAAAAAAAAAAACTAGAATAACATCATTAACTTGATTAATTTATGGGTTGTGTTAGGATTTAGAATTAATAATAATTTTTTTTGTTGTTGAAATTGTGAAAAAAAAAATATGGTTGTACGTTCATTGATGTTTGTCATTTTGTATTTTTAACCTGTTGTACCCACAAATTTGAAACTGCCAAAATATTCAACCAACCCGCTCAATCAATTAGGGCGGTTTCACAGATGATTTTCCTGAAAACCAACACAACCGACCTGTGCATAGTTTAGTGGATGCCAATGAAGATGCTTAACCATTGAACAGTTTCTAGCTAAAGAGATTCATGATTTTTCTTCCAAGATGCCTATTAAGGTTACACAGTAAGTTGTTTCTACATATTTTCCTCATTCAGAAGTGACCATAAAATCTGAGTCATCACTTATGGGAGAAACGGTGATTCAAGAATCCTTAAATGAGTCATTGGAGGAACAACTCGTTGGGTCAGCTCAGGGCAAGATGTTAAATTCGATTGGCAGGATATTTCATTGCCTTTTGATTCTACTCCTAGCCATTATGTCATTGATCCCATTAATGGAATCACTTTTGAGTATCTCGATCCTCATGAGCCATTTTCTTCTTCCTAAAAAAAAAAAAAAATCAACAACAAAAGATTCTCAGGAGTCTGCTGATCTAAGTTTATTTTTCCTATACCTAATGTTAGTTGTAATCTAATGATTATATGTTAACCATCAAGGCATTGTTGTTACTTCAGTTCCTAATGAAATATTTCACATTAACATCTCGTGAACAGGTTCGAGTCATTCTTTAATGTGGACCACATCCACATTTTACTAATTTTTCTTCAGTTTTAATAGAACGGTATGCCCACTTGATGAAGGCAGTACAGGGCCTTTTGTTTTGTTTACTGGTGTTGATATTTCTAAAATTCTTTAAACAATAAAATATGTGTACTATATATTTACTAAACATCATTAAATCAGTTGAACTCTTACATTGAACAGGTGAACATCATGATTGTCAAGCTTCTTTTCCTGAATAACTAGTAACTTTCGCAAGAACCACGCTGTATGCCACTGTATCAGTACTGTGAATGGTGGTTGGCTCGCTAAAACCTTCAATAATGCATGCAAAATCTGTAAAATTGAACAGGAAGTTTATCATGACACTGACAACTAAACTGAGATGGAAACTGGGACACAAGAGGTTGTACTTTAAGATAAAGCAAGAGTTACATGCAAATGGTCAAGATGTGTACTAATGAAACAGGTAGAGAATAATCAATTGAGGCAACAACGACAATGCTCTGTAACAAAAAAAATAATGACAATGCAACTTAACCAAGATATAACCCGTAGTACATATACCTGAGGCAAGTGTCTCACAAAAATTCTACCATCAAAGACCTGTGAAGCTGATAAGTCATATGTCTGCAAATGAATAGATGATTAAGGTCATATCAAGAGAGTTAATGTTAGAAACTTCACGAAGTTATCATTTCCCCGTCCCAGGAAGAAACTACGGACACATTTTTATTCTTCAAATAAAGATATACCATGTAATTTTGACATGCAGGAGAACAAAACAATCAAAATTTAGAGAATAAGCCATGTCGGCAAAACAATGTCAGAATCACAGTTCAATGCCCATATAGGTGATAACTTTTTTATTTTTTATTTTTTGAACGAATATAGGTGATAACTTAGAACTGTTATTAATATTATGTTTCAGAATCATGGTACAATGCCAAAATCTGAAGACAACATCAAAGAGTTCATACATGTAGATAACTATGGATCCTCAACTGAAATTATATAGGGACGAGATAATCCACTAAACGATCATTTATTATAAGTACTGGTATGCACCGTCACCTTCTGCATCCTGGTTTTAGTTTGACAGAATCCTATTAATCCAGCCAGCTGATAATCAAGATCTACAAACAAGAAAACATGGAAATAAACCATAATTAAAATACATCAGGAAGTTGTATAGACATACTAAACAAAAGTAGAAACATCAAATACCTTCACTTTCAGCTAAAACAAGCAATAACATGAGAGATGCCAGCATTAGACTTTGATTATCTGAGAAAATGTATGAAAGTATTCCAGCCCTGCACAGAAGGGACTACTGACAAGTTCAATGGACACAGAAATCATTGTCATACCCATGATTAGGATAAAGGCAAAGACACTAGGCATATACTTCTTTAAGATGCTACAAATATCTCACACCATCTCACACCAGTTGCCTCATATTAAATAGAATTAGAATTTAACCATTTACCAACCAGAACACCAAAAAATAATAAATAAGTATTTCATTACTAATAGTAGGTGATAGCAAGAACGTGTACATGTATACCGAAATGCATGCCTTTCATGTCCCACCACATCCAACACAATTTCAACCAAAAAAGGAAAAAGAGAAATAAATCAATATATAAATTTATTAAACAAAATAACTTCCATGCTTTACTATTTCAAAAGTAAATATTGTATTTGGAATGAACTTTAGGTTTAAACAACTAGAGTACAGTCTGTAATAGTATATAAGAATTTGCCTATTTCTGTATGCCATGCGATAATGGAGTGTACATCTTTAATTTCTGCATGGGTAGTTGGTTAGGATGTATTCCTAAATCAGCTCTCTTTGTCACTACCCAACTTCGCTCCGTTACCCACTTAGATATATATATATATATATATATTAATGGATCCATGAATTTGATTTGAGCATCAAAAGGAAAATATCTTGTTTTTATTGGATCATTGAAAAGATTTTCAAGGGAAACAAACGAACAAACAAACAAACATCAGGATCGATCCCAAAGGAATGTGATCGATCACCAAAGCAGAACAAGGTGATCGATCCCTCCATTTAAGCGCTTGATTAGTAACACTGAGAACATTGATTTGTGTGTCAAGGCAAAAAAGTGAGTTCTAAATTCCAGTAGCCAGCGATCTCGCCTTGCTAATAAAGGCTTTAGCGACATTGCTAATAAAGGCTTTAGCGACATTTTGTAGCTGCGATAGATCGCTACATTCTAGGGATCGATCTCTGACACGAAAATTGCTTAATTATTTTCCTAAACGGGGTTTTGATGCCCTTTTTGATATATAATGCTTTCTTGATAAGTTTAAGGGTATCCCAACAACCATTGTGTTCATATACAGCCATTTTTAATTACAGTCTAGAAAAATTCAAAGATCACATCTCTATACAAGTGAGATTTTTCTGGATGTTGATCTTTATCCATTTTAAAACCCTCAATCTATTGCATTGTTCTCACTTCCGTGGCCGGTTGGATAATCGGAGTCGTAGGTGTACAAAGAACAAGGTGAGAAGCTTCATGGTGTTAGGCTACCGCATCAGGCCACACTCATGGAGCATCTTCAAGAAAACAGAGATAGGTTAATCAGGGTTTGGTTCTAAGTCCTTCGTCTAAGTCTCGTGAACTTGATTTATTATAGTGGATTTTTGTTGGGTGTTTGGGACCGGGGTTTTTCCCCTCTTGGATAGTTTTCCATGTTAGCTGTTGTATCCTCTCTATTATATTTGTGCTCAGTTTAATTTTATCATAGCAAGTTTAAAATTGGTAATTCAGTTTTACTTCATCCAAAATAATTTGAGAATTGTCCTATTCACCACCCTCTAGGCACAATATTTCTGGACTCTAATATTTCAATTGACTACGTATTACATTGACTACATGTCAGAACTCTGTGCGTTTCATGAGGTATTCTGTTTGAGTATGCTGCAAGTTATTTAGTTTTTTCCTGCAGTGGTTATTTCAAAAGCAAGTACTCATGATGGGTTTTGTGTTTGTGAGTGGCATACGCCTGTGTTATTGGCATTCTTGTCTTTATAATTTGTTTTTATCGAATTGCAACTGTTTTGTCACAGAAATACCAAAGGGTATCACTCTACTCTATACTAAATATAGAAACGATGTATATGTGCAGAAAGACAGAAGAAAGATCATCCGAACATGGAAAATATGATGAACCAATCAGATGACACCATCTAAGCCTTCGAAAAGAGCAATTACAAAATTAACATGGGAGCAGCCACAAACCTTTTGTTTACCGTATCATTACAAGGGAAACTTGCAAAATGAGGATCACATGGCAGGTACTCTGATAAATGCCCAAGCAGATAGTTTGTTTTGAAGTTTTCTGCACCCTCTGGCTCAAGACAAACCATTTCATGCAAAGGGTTGAATATAGAATTCACGTGATTAGTACCATCATCTGTGACTCCTTCAATAGTATGTTTCATGCTTGAAAACATCTCAGCATACAGAATAGCACTAGCCACAAAGTTGACCATGTTTTCTCCCTGAACAACCTGAAGGAGACGGGTAACTACAAACAGAGAAGTGACTGCAGAAATATATGTACCCTGAAAAAGGAAATGAAAATATTAAAAACTATTTCATGTCTGTAAATTTAACAATCAATTCCATGTTTGAGTTCAGAAATCACTGGAGCAATAAGCTTATGGATCAATCATGGACTAGGATTTCCCAGCACCAGCTGGGGAAATCTTACAACCAAATTACTGGACTGCCATTTATTTCCACCAAAATGAATTCATAGATTTAATAAGGTTGAAACCTTTTGGGGGAAAAGAGAGAACAGTGTAAATAGTGAGGGGACGAGGAAAGATGGTAAACGCAGGACGAAATTTCTGAGATATATGTCCAGGGAGAGGATCATTTTAGGCTGCCTTCAGCTGAATGCTGCCGTAACTTGCTACTAAACAAATTACAAAGCAAACACAAATCTAAAATGGATACTTGCTTAGTATTCTACCTCTAAGGTGACATAGTACAATTCTGCAAACAATCACTAAGAAGGGCATGCCTTCGTATAATAAACTATTGCACCAACTTCAACTTCAAAGGAATATCCGTAGACTTTTTTTTTTTTGGGTCAGAAGGTAAAAATTCCTCATGTCAGGCAGGAGTAGATTGCAGTATCTCAAAAAATTTGCTGATCATACAGTTGACATCAAAGAACAAATGACATACACGAAGTAATAATAACAACCTTATGAAGTTTCAATAATTTTGCAGAGAGAGAGAACAGTTCAGATGAAGAATATCTCACATTACTCTGGCCCAACTGCAGCAACGGGAGCAACATGGGAAAGATCAATAAGCTAACAAGATTTTGAGTGACCATTTTTCTCAAACGAGGCTCGTCAATACAAAGTAGGTCCTCAAGGTAGTAGAGCTCATCGACAATTTTATCAGTTTCCAGAAGATCTCTTGTCCTTCCGCGGGGGAAACTCTCCCTGCATCAAATTCAACCAGTTTACCAAAATGAGATGCTAGTGCATACCACCACCAGATTACAACTCACCAAAATGACAAACTTTTCATCTGAAAGTGCGTACTCCGTAGCATGGACAAGGGCATCTAAATGTGTGCATTGCTTTTTTATGCTCAGAACTATGTCCGAGAAATACTGCGAGACTGGAGGAGTTGTTACAAATCGATAGACCATGTCATCACTAACTGCATAACCAAAGAGGATACCATTGCAAAATCCCAAAAGTTGAAGTTCATAATCCACAATACAATTATATCTTTTACTTGGAAAGTGATATAAAAGATTAAAAAATAATACCATTATATATGTTCAGAGTTAATGCTCGTATAGCCGTTTGAATCATCTTTTCCCCGTGGTGAGCAAATTTAAGTGCCTCACTGTATAGTGGAAATGAGACTACAGCATCCTGTTGATATGACAATTTATGAAAAGTATGTAAAGCCATGCCCCAAATATTTTGCAAATCAATATGATGTGAACCAAAAAAAAATTAAAAAAAATTATATTCAAGGGGACATATGCAAGAGCCTTCTCATGTACTTCCGCATATTTCATATTCCAATAAGTTCTGGTTCTCCATATAGAAATATCACAGTTCTGCCATAATATATACGCCTTACACATCCTTTACTGCTATAAACATTGGATGTAGTCATAATCCAAACATGTTCAACTATATTTCATCATTAATCCTACACATATAGACAACTTCCAAGCCCCCTTTAAGTTCTGTACCAAATGCACTCCCATCTCCTGAGAAGTCTTTCTTGTGGATCTAATGCTCAAGTCTTAAAAATAAAACAGAATGAAGTAATGAATGTGAGGCAGAATTATTAAAATTAGGGGTGTTCAAATAACTGAACCACCTGACGAATCCGACCCAATCTGACCGATGGCCATGGATGGTTTCGAATTTTGTACGGTAGGAATCGAGTTCAATTTAGCAAACCCATTGAAATCATGGTCGAGTCTCGGGTGTGACATGTGAGAATCCGACGGTCCCGACCCAACCTGACCCGTCTTCAATGTTAGCTGCTATTTTTCCACGTGTAGCACTTGATTGGCTCACTATCTTTACATATATGTTTCCAAGACTAATAAACTTTGACCCATGCCCTTCTCCCACATTTCAATGTTCTTTTTCTCTCTCTAGAACCCAACAGTTTCCTTCTCTTTAGAAACTCAACAATCTCCCTCATACTCTCACTCTCTCAACTGTCTCTCTTTCTCTCTGACGTTTATCTCTCTTTCACTTCCCAATACACACTCTCTCTCTCTCTCTCTCTCTCTCTCTTCCTGTAAACCCATGAGACCCCTCATCTTTGTTCTCCCTTATGCACAAACCCAATCTTTGATTGCCTTCCACAAACCCTATTTTCCTTTTCAATCTCCCTCTCATAGAAACCTAATGGCCATATAGCAGAGCGATGATGGCAAAGCAATGGCGATCGATGGTGATAAAGTTTAGCAGATTACTGGAGCATGAGCAATTGTGATGATGACGGAGTAGATTGATTGTTGTAGTGGTGCTAAATGGCAGAATTTTTTTTTTTTTAGTTTGTCTTCACTCTATTTCTATCTCTCAACTCATTCATGTTTGAATTCGTTCATTATTTTAATTGAATCATATGTTTAAATCTTTGAATCAATTTGTTTATATACATGTTTGAATCTGAGACTTGTTTTATATGAGGGAGTTGTCTTCCCAACACACCACCGAACCTAGCCGACCATCAAACTGAATGGTTTGTTGCAGTCGATTTCGAATACTAGATCAGTCGACAATAGATGATCAAGCTTCTAACTTGATGCATTTAGTCGATTTCGAATACTAGATCGGTTGACAACAGATGATCAACCTTCTAACCCAATGCATTCGGTTCGGCTGACGGATTGAGGGTACACCAGACCCAATCCGACCCTTACACACCCCTCCTCTCTAGAAACCCAATAATCTCTCTCATACTCTCACTCTCTCGTCTCCCTCGCTATAACCCCCATTACCCTCTTAATCTCCCTCTCAGAGTGGTGAATCTAGCGACAGTGCTATCGATGGTACGATGGCGTGCTTAGATCTTAGATCTGTGAGATGGTGATGATAGTGCTCAGATTTGAAGTATGGTGATGATGGTTCTTAGATTTGGGACAACGATGACAATAGTGAACATGGCAATGAAACCCCCTCCCTCTATCTGATTTGATCTCTCCCACTAACTTAGATTTGGAATGTTTGTGATCTCTACAATTTCTCTTTTGCTCTTTTTTTTTTTTTGGATCATTATTTGGTTTCTCACTCGATCCGACTACCGAACTGATCAACTCGATTTTTGCAGTTTTGAAAAAGACAACGGTCAGAATCAGATTGGTTTTCTTTCAACCCAATGTGGTCAGGTCGAGTGGCAAGTCAATGGTAAAACCGATCCAACTCAACCCACGTACAGCCTTACTTAAAATACTGACACATCGTTCTGAATTGTGAAGTTACAAATTACAGGAAAAGGACCATTGAACATCTCTTCTTAGCAAAAAAATTCTTACGTGCGTTCTGTTTAAACTTCTCTTGGATGGTATTCACTGCAAATTAACATAACAGCTAGTGTCTAATCTAATCTAATAAATTAACATATTAGTTTAAAATCATGTTTTGGAAGAAAGAAAAAGAGAGGTTTTAAAAGGAAGTTGAGTTCATGAATTCTTCAAGAAAAGCTCATGTTTTGATCCTTGAATCATAAAGATGAATCATGTTTTGATTTTACTGTTTTGAAAAGAATTATGATTCCATGTTTTCTTATAAATTATAAGTGTTTTTCAATGATTTATCAAGGTCACAAGCTAAGGAAATGAAAAGAAGTGAATTAGAACAAGAGGAGAAGTATGAACAGCCTGCTCCAGCCATTTCTGTACGTGCAGAAGTGACTCCCGCAAGTGCGGCCCAACCCTCCAAAACCCATTTTGCATTCTAAAATAACCACACGTGCGGCCAGATTTCCGGCACGTGCCCCAACCTTCCTGCACCTTGTCCCGCATGTGCCCCGGCAGGTGCAGCAACCAGTACATTTGCCCAATTCCACCCCTTTTCGCTTGTTTTGATGCACCGCATCTCATAGTACTTGTTTAGACCTAAAATGGAATTGAATAGAGTTTAAAAACAGACTTTCAATAAGAAAAATTAAAGAATAAAGTTTAGGAAAACACTAAGGTTAAGCACTCGGTTTGTTATGTCATGCAAGTCAAGTTACGTATTTCAATGCTTTGTTCTTGTTTGTGTATGTTAAGCTTTGGAAGGAGTTTACCCTTTGCTCAAGGAGCCATTTGTGAGTAGTAGTACAGTAAAGCTATGTTTGATAAATTATGATTGAAAATGCAAAACTTATTTATGCTTAGGAAAGCTATGCTATTGCTTGTTAGAAAGCTATGCTATTGCTTGTTAGGAATGAACATCCTATATTCTTATATTATGTATTAAGTTGACATTCTTGGATCGTGTCCTAGTTATTGGGTGATTATACCAATAACGTCTTTATGGCCAAGCTCACCTTACCACCTTCGAGTGGGTTGTTTAGTCGGTATCCGGGCCGGTTACGCACCTTGCAATCCTTGATATGTTCATCATTATGTAAATGTTTACAACTCAAGTCTTGTATTATCTTGCTTAAGCTAAGTCATGTTCAAACTATGATTTTACGCTATGTTTATAAAGCTCGTCGGTGTTCATTCATTCACCTCTTTACTTTATTATAAACAACAAGGAATTGGGAAAGAATTGATCTCTTTTCTATATTTTTTAGAATGATAAACAAGTACACTATTTATAGTCTATACAAGGCACTAAAATCAGGAACTAAATAACCATACATCTGTCATATAGCTAGGCAATCCCTAGAGATCAGCAATAAATCTTAGCTGAATATTCTCCTTTCCAACACTCCCCCTCAAGCTAGTTTGAAAATATCTTCCATAGCCAACTTGCCCATTAATTTCTCAAATTGTTTTCTGGAGAGTCCCTTTGTAAGAACATTTGCAATCTGCTTATCAGTTAGTATATAGGTCATGCAAATTTGCCCGTTCTCTATTTTCTCCTTGATGAAGTGCTTGTCTACCTCAACATGTTTGGTTCTGTCATGAAGAACAAGGTTATGTGCTATTGAGATTGCTACTTTGTTATCACAGTATGCCTTTATTGGAGAGGGACTTGAGACCTTAAGTTCATCTAAGACTCTCTTAATCCATAACACCTCAAAAATTTCGTTGATCTAAATTCGGCTTCAGCATTGCTTCTTGCCACCACGTTTTGCTTTTTACTACGCCAAGTAACAAGGTTTTCTCCAACAAAAGTACAATAGCTAGAGGTTGACCTTTTGTCAGTTATACTCCCAGCCTAGTCTGCATCTGTGTATACTTCAATTTGTAGGTGACCATGCTTTTCAAACAGCAGGCTCTTCCCTGGTGATCCCTTTAGGTACCTTAGGATTCTGTACACCGCTATGTTGGACCTGGTTAGTGCATAAATTGACTTGCCATGCTCACTGCAAAAGCTGTATTTGGGTAAGTATGAGATAGATAAATCAGTCTACCAACCAGCCTCTGGAATTGTTCCCTGTTCTTCACATCTTCAGGTTTAGCAGATTGGAGCTTTAAATTAGGTTCAACTGGGGTTTCTGTTGCCTTGCAACCTAGTAGACCTGTCTCTCCAAGAAGATCCAACAAATAGTGTCGTTGAGACATGAAGATGCCCTTTTTAGACTTGGCAAACTCCAGTCCAAGAAAATATTTTAGGACTCCCAAGTCCTTGATCTCAAGGTCATCAGCAAGGCCTTGATCTCAAAGTCATCAACAAGGACTCTCTTGAGTCTCTTGAGCTCAACATGATCATCACCTGTTAATACCAAGGTTTTAAAAAGCGGCCGCAACCGTTACGTAACAGTTTTGGTGGTTATCGCTACCCGTTACGGCCGCTTTTGCAGTGTGAATGAGATTCACAGGTCTGTCGGTCGTAGCGGCTACCGTAACGGTCGTAACGGCATGTTACGGCACCGTTACGTAATGGTTCCAAACTGTTTCTTTCAAAAAAACACACAAAAAAAAAAAACTAAAAATGGGGGAAGAGGGATGGAGAGAAGAGGGATGGAGAGAAGAGGGAAGATAAAGAGAGAAAATGAAAGAGCAAGAGATAGAGAGAGAGAAAAGGGAAGATGAAAAACATGTTATTGATTTGTTGAAACTGTAAGACCTATGCTATTCTATTCAGCTGCTATCACTAAACCATTTTGTTTGTGTGTGTCTATCTATATATTGTTTGAAAATAATAATAATAATAAGTGTGGTCATTATCTATTTGGCTTGGTAAAATATACATATATATATATACATATATTTAGGCTCTTATTTATTCTCTTACTTTTGTCA